GTGCGAGCGTGCGTGCGTGCGTGCTAGAGTGTGCGTGCTTGTCCCTACGTGCGTGCGTGGGTGCGTGCGCATGCGTCATTTGCGGCAGGTCACGGCGCGTCATCGGGTCACGGCGCGGGTAGTTTCGCGTAAACATGCAGCTGCACGTGTATTTATAGCGGACGACTGCCGAACCGGTGCCTCCCCCCTGCGGCGATTTCCCGCTCGCGCGCTCTAACTTCTTTTCACCTCTCTAGCGCTCTCTCTCTCTCTCTCTCTCTCTCTCTCTCTCTCTCTCTCTCTCTCTCTCTCTCTCTCTCTCTCTCTCTCTCTCTCTCTCTCTCTCTCAAGTAGTGCGTGCATGCTTGTAGTGAAGTACTCCTAGTATTTTTTAGAGTATCTACTATTTACAATTATAGGGATATCCCTTATGCATCTTGTCACAATGTGATATACTCTCTGGGAAAGAAGCAAACAATAACAGGGGTGAAGCCACCAAGGAAAGAAGAAAAAAAACAATATAGAATATAGACATCTATAGTCTATATATATAGGCTATCTAAATATATAGGCTATCTATATATTTATCTTCTAAATTCGAATATCTTCTATAGTACCCGTAATTTTACTATATACTATAGTATAGTACATATAATTATTACTATAGTATATAGTATAGTACATATAATTATTACTATAGTATATAGTATAGTAGTACATATTACTATAGTATATAGTATAGTAGTACATATTACTATAGTATATAGTATAGTAGTATAGTCTACAGTAATATATATTCTATAGCTCTGATATTATCAGGAGTAAATTGTCACAAAATTGTCATTTTTAACATTACTCCTGATATTATCTACACGAATATATCTGTGATTGCCACAAGGGGGCGATATAGTCACCAAGACGTCAGATGAGTCCTGGCATTACTTTACCACGTATTACAAAATGATGATAAGAGACACGGACCAGTCTAAAATACACCCAAATCAAAACATCGGCGATGAGGCTTTACCATTACATTCGTTTTAGTTACACCATAGACCTGTCGTTACACATCAGTTCACGCGCCATAACATATAACGAATTCTGTTACTGTACTGTGTAACGTGTAAACTATTACTAGGCCCTAACTATTATTATAATTATTATTATAACTATTATTAAGTTGGCGTAAAAAAGTAGCGCGCACTATCTGGTAACGGTACGTGATACGTTATAACTTATATACACTGAATCTGATACATCTAAACCCGCCATGATATTAATTTTATTATGATTATGATATCATGGATTACCGATCGCCCGCAGACGATTTTGAAGTGCTACAATCTACAACATCCCTAGATGATGTTGCGGCTATGCAAATGCAATTTCAAATGAATGTAGATGACGAGGAATTATTGGTAGGATCCAGCTATGAGCATGAAAGCGTCTTGAAAGGTAACCTACTTTAAGTACCCGTACTTAATCACTTGGTATCGCTTTGCTAATCATCCTAATGTAATACTAATAAGTAATAGTAATAGTAATACTAATAGTAATAGTGTGTCCGAACCCTAACCCTGTGCTGTGTGACTGTGACAGACTCCGTGCGTGTTATGTTACAGTTATGTTATGCACAGGCACTTGGAACGTCTCAATAAAAAAAAGGTAAATAAACACGAAATGTATTTACTACCGTCTTAATGTTTCTCTACTCTATTTCGCCTATTAATTATTGTCGATAACTTCCTGTAAATGACGTTCAAATGCTCCTATGCAACACACGTCACAAGTACACCGCACGCACACACCTGGGCACCAACAACAAGAATAAAGAGTGAGCTCTTCATTGTTAATGTTATACCTCAATTCTAATCTAATTAACGCTCTCACTCTGTGACTGTGTTACTGAAATAATACATGGCATTAATATAATGCATAATATGTGAAATAACCACAAAAAACTGTATCATAAGACTATAATATGAGTCACGTTTTTAGCTTGCCTTGACATCGTCAAGATGAGCTATTGCCATGGTGTGTCGCCCATCTGTCCGTCCGTCCGTCAACATTTGGCTACGGTCAACGATAACTCAAGAACCGTTTGGCCCACAGGTTTCAAATTGCATATAGTTGTTACTCCTATGGGAGAGGTTTGAACGTCCTATTTTGGAGCACTCGAGTCGACCTACATTCGAGCCATGGCCACTTTTTGGCAAAAATGGAAATGGTCAAGTCAGTTCAGGTTCAATGGATTTTGCTCATTTCTGGTATGTGAATGAATGAGTACTGGCCCCAAAACATATCACACAGGTTTTGATTTTTTTTTAATTATGCAAATTGGGTAGATTTTGGCAATTTCACTATGCATTTCAGTGTCTGCCTACGGTCAACGATAACGCAAGAACCGTTTGACCCACATGTTTTAAATTGCATGCAGTTGCTACTCCTATTTTGGAGAGGTTTGAACGTCCTGTTTTGGTGCACGCCAGTCAACCTACTTTCGAGCCACGTCCACTTTTTGGCAAAATTGGAAATGGCCATAAGTCAATTCAGGTTCAACGGATTTTGCTCATTTCTAGTATGTAAATGAATAAGGACTGGCCCCAAAACATATCACACGGGTTTTGATATTTTTTTTAAATTATGCAAATTAGGTAGATTTTGGCAATTTCACAATGCATTTCAGTGTCTGCCTACGGTCAACGATAACTCAAGAACTGTTTGGCCCACATGTTTCAAATTGCATACAGTTGTTACTCCTATGGGAGAGATTTGAACTTCCTATTTTGGAGCACGCCAGTCGACCTACTTTCGAGCCACGCCCACTTTTTGGCAAAAATGAAAATGGCCATCTAAATTCATTCGATTTTGTAAAATTTTGGTATGTGAATGTGTAAGGCTAGCCCCAAAACAGTTGTTACTCCTATGGGAGAGACGACAACGTCCTATTACGTTTATTTCGTCTAACTGGTCAACAACTCTACAATCATACCTATATACGTGTAATATTGTGTTTTAGATTCTTCGTTACAGTAATTTGACTTGAATATTTTATTGTTTTTATTTGCGCGATATTCGAAAACCAAAATGGCCATCATTTAGGCGTAGCGCCATCTCGCATCAAGATTTCAGACTTTCAGATCTGAAACATTTATTTTCGCATCCAAACTTATGCATATATATATCATTATCAAGAGTATATTATAATAGGAGATATGCTATATAATGGGAGTTCTCCCATATATACTCTTGCTTTATATATCTCCCCTCCTTCTTCTATCACACCTAAGGTGAGCTACAGTGTTATTGACACTTTTATTTCATTGTCTCCTGTTATATATATTTGGACATACGTTTCTACTTGATGTTCTTGGGCCAAAAGAAATAGGTTACATAAACCATATTACAAAATTAATAGTTTTGTGATGTGACACATGTTCAGAATAAGACTTATTACCTTGTACCTTAAAAGTACACTGGGTGCAGGGCAAAGTGCACTGGGTGCAGGGCAATGATTGTGAATGGACGTTTATGGGTGGAAGTTAACACTTAAACATATTGGCTATTTAAAGGGATACAAAAATTTGGTTTTCGAAAAGTTTGACCATAAAATAAGAGCCTCCCGTGAGAATTTTTCAGAAACCATGATGTGGTTTATTGGGGATCGAGATTTCTGCCCCCAATGAAAAGTTAGATCAGTGTACTACTGTACTAGCCACCAAAACTTTGCACAGCAACAATAAAACGATGCAAAATATATAAAATAACCAAACAACATGTTTAATTTCATTTCATTCTTCCTAAACAACGTTTACAATAGTAATTAACGTTATAGTCATTACTGTTATGCCCTGTGATTATACACACTTCCAATCCCAGCTAATTCCTTACTGTTGCTGGTGGTGGTGAGAGGGGGCTTCGAGCATAAACAGCTGTTTCTGCAGGTCAAAGGTAAAGCTCTACGTACTCCTCTAATCAGTCAAGTCAAGAGGTGAGTCATAGTTCCCCCCAACGTTGATTCCCATGAAAACCGTTCTTGACGACACTGATGGCCGACGCTGCATGCATAAACAGTCTTTCGTTTGAAATAATTGAGGGAGGGTCTGATTTTATGGTGAATATTTTTTTAACTATTTCATGAGTTTTTATCTGTATATCTGCGGATTGTGAATGTGTATCAGACTATCAGTATGGAAAAACTTTTTTCCGTAGAATGCTAGGAGATGGGTTCTAAGTTCAGATTTGTTAAATTAAATATATAATAAATCGTAGATAGATTAGGGCTAGCACGAAAGTTGAATTTCCAATAATTTAGCCTTGCACACTCCTTTGTTTTGATTCACCCCTGATGTATATATGTAGAATTAATTTTACTGACAGCAATTGAAAAATCTTTCCATTCCTGTATAAAATTACATGAGGGAATTTTTCTTTTACATCACGATTTTTCTGGTCATAAAATTACATACATATAGAGAAATGCACGTAATTCGAGTTATTGTAATGTGGGATACTACTGTATTGTCAAGGTTCAAACGGACGAGCTGACGGCGACCTCTTCCGACGATCGAACGCCCGTAAGTCCGAGCTGGCCGCCGACGCTGACATGAACCCTGGGCAGAATAATCTGTCGTGGTCACCTGAGGATGAGGCGGTTGAGGAGATGCATCCGGAGGAGGCCCGCTGGTTCTACCGTGAGCGAGGCGACAAAGATCGTCACTGGACGGCGTTTATCGGCTACGACTCGCTGCGCATCGAGTGCAAGTACAGGGAGCTGCAGCTCGGCGATGGCGGCGTGATCTCGGAGCACAACGTGGAGACGATCAGCGCACGTGGTGACCTCTTCGAGGTCGACGTAGTGTCGAAGAAATGCTTTCCGATCTACTGGGCAGGTGCGTGATGGAAGTCGTGTCTATTAAGTGTATATATACACTTATATATAAATATATATATTAAGTAGTACTGTGTAAATATCAGGGGTAGAAATGAACTTTTGAACAAGGGAGTCCAATGGATCCCCTACTCTCAAAAAGAGGGAGTCCGCAGTCTGAATTTCAAAACTAAGATATTAACATTAACGCATATTTTGAAGATTCATGCGGTTGCACGTCTGCCAAATTTTCTTTGGACATTTGCTGAAAAAATATGGTAATTCCGCGAGGCCGTGCTCTGTCAAATCAGGGAGTCCGACAGTAAATCAGGGAGTATTTGAGTCCGGACTCGCGTTAATTGCGCACCCTGAAATATATCAATATATTTAGGCTCACGTCCAGACGAGTCAGCTCTCTGGCTGGATGCTATCATGCACAGGCTAAAGTCAAATCCTATGCCTCGGACTAGAAACCTGTTAAGTACCGGAGGTGGACGTTGAACTAATTATAACATTTTGTATACAGCAGGATATATATCAGTAGATAATAGGGAATAATAGTTCCCTAGGGGTATAATTATTTCCCTAGTAGGATAATTAGTTCCCTAGGGGTATAATTATTCCCTAGTAGGATAATAGTTCCCTAGTAGGGATAATAGTTCCCTATTATCTACTCCTGATATATATAGATGAACGTGTGTGGGAATGTGTGATGAACGAAACGTTTACATATAATATATTGTTATGCATGCACACGTGTATATAACGATCTATCTGTATGTTTTATTGTCTGTTTTTGCATCTGTCAATCAATCCACCCATCCATCCATCTATTTAGTCATTTCTCTCCCCTTCTCTCTGTCCCTCTGTGTGCGTGTGTGTGTGTGTGTGTGTGTGTCCGTGCGTGCGTGCGTGCGTGCGTGCGTTCGTGCGTGTGTGTGCCACTGTGTGTGGGTGTGTCACTGTGTGTGTGCGTGCGTGCGTGCATGTGTGTGTCCGTCTCTGTCTCCGTGTCTATCTCTGTCTTTTTTTCACATACATATAAAAGAAAACAATTATTGCCTGGGTGCGCAGGCGACATAGAGTTTTGTGAGCACGAAAATCAAAATTGGTCTTGAGCAACATTTATTTTCTCAGTTAACAAAACAATATCACCTGCAATAAGGCAATAATTGTATATTATTATATGGCTGTGAAAATACCACACTGTAATTTGTGCAAACCATATGAATAAAATGCTAATATTGTCCATTGAAAAACCAATGTTTCCCATTAAGTAAGGCTGAGAGGGTCTATGTCCCCCAGGGTACGTACTGCCGGAACGTACCCTGGTACTATCTAATATGCCGGACCGTACCTCGCCTACTCCACTAACGAGTCTAGGGAGTCGCCTATGCCTACTCCCTAACCCTAACCTTAACCGGTTACCCTAACCCTAACCATATCAGATATAGTTACCAGGGTACGTTCCGGCAGTACCCTGGGGGACATAGACCCTATGAGCCTAAGTAAGTGCATGGTGCTGTAACCTAGCACAATCACTGTTTTTTCCACTAATGGCTGTAACGTTGGAATGAGCGTTGATATCGAAATGATGAAGATATAAAGTCATCCACATGGCCATCATATGGCCGGTATGGCATATCATGACATTTCCTGCATATTATGGCTTTTTTTTTTGTGTGGAAAATCTTTGTTGTGAAACTTTGTTTAGAAATTTGTGATCGTTTCTTGAATTTGTGCTAACCAGTGACGGTACGTTTCCACTATATTGTTAGACCGCTGGACACATTCTTCAATCAGGGTTTGATATAGGCCTAAAACATTTCATCGACAATATGAAATCACTTTTGCGTATTTTTGTTGGCGGGTTAGGGTAACCGGTGATATCATCAGGAGTAAGATAATATAGATCTATATTATCTTACTCCTGATATCATGGTAATGCCATGATATGCAGGAAATGTTTGAAACAGTAGATGAGCGCAGTATATCAATCAGATCTGGTAATAACATGTAATCGTAGTAAAACTACCCAGAATCTGAATAAAAATACATGCGTCTGTACTACGAGATTTCCTTGCTGAACCACAAATGTCTCCGGATTTCACATTGAATTGAGGATGATGTATGGGAAAAACCATTATAGACAAGAGCTATTGAATCTTTAATGTTACGTTTGCATTAATGTTTATTGAGTTTAACTAGATAAATAATAGGAGAATAAGGCTATATGTGGAATTCTCTCCCTAGAAGAAGGAAGACTCCCTAGCATTATTGTATCCCCCGAACGAGTTCGGGGGGATACTATGGATTTGGCCTCGTCGCGCCGCCGCCGCCGCAGAGATTTCCTTGTGAGCGCTCTACCGACTGCAGTTCTTCTCGGATCATCTTCAAATTTCGCATGAAGGTGCGTTATCGTAAAGCGAAAACGCCAATCGTTTTTGGTGTGGGCGGAGTCATCGTTGCCATGGTAACAACATT